GGGAATTTAGATTAATAAATTAATGTATGTAACAAACTATGCACACCAATGAAATGCACGAGTACGTAAATGACGAATTATGCATCCTAATAATACTTTGCACGCAAAATATTAGTTAATTAGGCTGTATTGTTAAATAGTAACACGATATTGACATTGTCTTTTTAAGCCTTAACAATTATTTCTAGGGAGATTACCCACCCCGGTCACTTTGTACAAAAACCCATCGTGATGAATACCGTACTACAAAAGAAGACTCTTAAAGCCTTCGAAAACCGATTATTTTGTAGTGAACTAATTTTCACACACTGAAGTTAGTTCATCTAATGCAAGTTGACTTTGATGGCAGCTATGACGTTATTGTAAGTGTTCATAATGTATTTGTGTAATGTAAGGCTTGTAACTTTATAAACCTAGCAACAATATCGCCATTTGTCTTCGTATACCTCGGTCTAATATAAAAAATCTGGTGATAAGGCCTTTTCAATTGCTTCACCTAGGCTTTGAAATAGTCTTCCTAGCAAGTTACAACATGCTTCTTGTTATTTTGGTTTTCGTCGGCTTCTCAAAAAATATTTGTTCCTTAAGTAACTCTCTTAACTGTCCAAATTTTCTGTTTTTTGTCATTACTGGTGTCTTTGTGGATCACCAATTGGTTAGCCTTTTTATTTAATTTTATTGCGCGTTGTATCCCTTGTAAAAGGCGCGGTACAAGTTCCTGTATTATAGTATTCTTATTGCAATAATTATATTAACAGAATTACAAACGGTTTTAAGACTCAACAATAATTGCTAGGTCTGATGTTTTTTTAAACGTGTGATTAAAAACAAGTTACTTTAGCTCAGTAGGAACTGAACCGTGGAGATCTCTTGGTCCTCAGTTTAATTCCCATCGCTGCTCTCCCTGTGTTACAGATGGGGGCTGAAATGCAAGTTACGATAGCGCACCGTCTTTCGGATGAGACGTTTAATGGCCAACTCAGACAGCGTCGTACGACGCAGCCCGACGCGATTTGTTGTTGCGTCGGGTCTGTTTAAACGCAGACGCGATGGTTTGCGTCGGAGGCAGTCGCGTCGTGGATATTAAACGTGTTTAATATTTCTCACGACGGCTTAAGACTGTCTCCGACGATAAGTCGGGTCGGGTTGCGTCGGCCGACACTGTCTGAGTTGGCCTTAAGCCATTGGTCTCTCGGAAAATAGTGGAGCCTCCCGGTATACTGCCCAATTCACAACCAGACCCCACTGGAAGCAAGTCTTCGGACTTAGTGGTCTTTCCTTGTTGTGATTCACACCGAAATATTCCTATCCTATCAATGTTAAGATCCACTGCTTTCCTAATTTCATTTGATTGCTCACAGCCAAATTCCTATTTATAGAAAGACCAAATGCGATAAATTTCACAAGAAATGGGTGCGGTGTTAAAGGGTTTTTTTTCAAAATTATTATTTTTATATTTGGCCTATATTAATTCTATATCGCGCGGG